TGTTCTCACTGAAATTGCTGATTTCTCTCCTTCTGTGTAAATGAAAGTGGAGTCACATCAATACTGAGCACCTCTGAAAGTTCCCTCTCAGAATTCACTTAGTGTTTATTCAATTAGGTATTAATTATGGGATTTTTTTTTTTTTTTGGCTGAAGAAAATCCCTTACTGTCATTTCATCAAAGTGTAGAATATGGTGTCTTACTTCCCCCAAGTGTCCTCTGCTGTATTTCATCTGCTGATGTGTTTTTCCCTCAGTTACAGTCTGTAGAAGAGAACTAACTTTTTAAATATTATTCCAGAGATGAGAAATGGTATAATTTCTAAACGCCATAAAACAAGTTTGTCAAAGTGCCGATAATCTCTTTGTCAATACTCTAAAGGGATCAAGACAAGAGTTGGGAAGATCTGCAATTTAATAAATGAGACCCACACAAAGCAGAGATGAAAAGAACAAACACAGCCACGCAGCTATGTGTGGGGTCCCGAATTTTATGTCTGGAATATTTATTTGGCTTCAACAAGTGCCCCCTGATGTGACCACAGAGAGCTGTATTTGAGCTGTCAGATGAGGGACTCAGGAGGATTTGGGCATCAACTGAGATGTCTCCCTTCATGAGAATGAAGAGTGATTCAGGCCAACTGCTTGCTAAATTTTGTCCATCTTGCAAACAGTGGTGGAAAATAGCTGCTTTCTAAGAGTGGTGGAGAGGGTCCAGGGGAGGTCTCTGCTCCTCTCCAGGCTTTTGGAAATGGTAGAAGAACTTGAGGCTGAAGAGAGATGCCCATGAAATGGAGCCTTGTTTTGTGCATATACGTACATGTGCATACACATGGGAATGTGACACAGGGATCAAGAGTTATTACTTCTAATAGTACCAAACTGCACCCTAGGTGAAGCTGTGCAGCTGAATGTTGCCCTTGTGAATGTTTGAGTTCTGAAAAAGTATTTTTATGGCATTTTCAAAGAAAAAAGCAGGCAGTAAGGACATCATCTCAACAGCTGAAGTGCTTTAAATGTGTCTTCAATATCATTTGTGTGAATTCTTCAAATTTAATTTCTAATACACTCAGACACCTACTGGGGACATTTCCAGCCTCACAGTTTCAGACAGAGGTCTCTCTGGCCTGTTGCTATAATGCAATCTATCTGAGAAAGCTGTCAGCCCCCTGTCTTTCTAAATACTTCCAGAGTCAGAGAAAGTAAGACACACCATCACCCCCCTCCCCTTACACTGACTTTTTTTTAATGGCATTTGGATTTTTCAAAAATACTTAAAGGTCAAGTCAGAAGAAAAATTCTTTACCAAGCAGAACTGTAGTTCCTAGAGGGTTTAATCCCAATTTAGGCAATTTCAGTACTACTGTCTTTAAACATGTAGGGCTAGTTAACTGAAAAAACACTTATCCACAGGAGGGAGCTCAGAGGTCTCTCTTTTCTCACATGAGGGACTTAGAAATGAAGTCAGACACACAGAGCAGCAGAGCATCAGACGATTCCTACAGGACAGTAACCTCTTTTGTTTCTCTCCTTTCACAAAAATATTCTGGCTGCAACTTACACAGTGCTGCCTGAGCTTCAGGGCTTCATGGTCAATCTGCAAGGACTTGGTGGACAGGTCTCAACTAAGGCTCATATGAAAGCCCAGCACAGGCTGTGGTGTTCCACTGATGTCGGCAAATTTGGCCTCTCCTTTACTGCCTTGAGCCCTGTGACAGCAGCTTACAAAAGCCCTGATGAAGGCCACTGGGAGACATTCAGGCTCAGGAACTCCTGTCTTGCAGCAGTTCTTCAAGCTCAGCAGGCAGGGTGAGGTGGTGCAAGGAAAATCAGGGGCCACATCTCCAAGAACTCAGTGAGTTCTTCAGTTTAGTGATGCATACAAAAAAGGTTGAACCAGCAAACTGGTTTTGTGTCTGTGCAGCTTTGAGTGCCTAACAGACCCACTGAAGCTGGGAGCAGAACAAGTAAAATTTGATGGGCCTTGGGCTCTTTTGTTCAGGTAAATCATAGATTATTTCTGAATGGCACAAACTGCAGTGGCATTATAAGACTTTTCTTACAACCAGAGGGTACCACCAAAGCTCTGGTGTTTCCCTCTGGTCTCTATGAGTACAGTCAATCCAGTTGAAATGTAACACCACCGCTGCTGGGGACAGGCAGCTTTCAAAAGCCAAGCTGGACTCAGAAACTTAATCAAAAGAAAGGAAGGCATAGAGTGGTGATAGTCAGAAGTCTGTATCACATCTCATCCTGAGCAAGCCACAGGATGATCACAGCTGAACCAGCCTTTCTGGGAGGGAAGGCAGTGCCTGAAGGGTGAGGTGAAGCAAGGGGGAAAAAAAGGACAAAGCCTTCTCATTCAAGTCAAAACAAGAGGATGCTTTAGCAAAGAAAAAACCCCATGACATTATCTAAAAAACTTGACATTGTCCTCCCTGTTGTTCAATTTTAGGAGCACTTACACAGCATTCTGACTTGAAAAAGAGAGCTTAAGTATCCAGAGTGGTGTCAGACTAATAAATCAGGAAACCAGTTCATCTCCAAGCATTATTTAGACTCTTTTTCAGTATGAGCCAGATCCTGTAGTTTTTACCTGAAGCCTCGTTTGCTTTGTTTGCCTCAATACACTGCCTGAATTTTACAATAGGTATCACCTGTGTGCTTCAGTCAACGCTTAGTTGCCTAACATGCTGACAAAAAAAAAGGCATCAAAATATAGATTTACAACTGACTTTGCGGCACTTGGCTTTGAAGGATAGCTCCTCTTTTTCTTAAATGTTAATATGAAGATTGCCTGAAAAAGCCAAAAGGAGAATTTGAAAGTTTGATTCATTGTTTAATATCAAGGTCTAGCTATTTACAAGTATGTTTTGTCTTGTCATTCATAATTGCTGTTATATTCTTCCCATGCATTTATTCAGCTCAGCAGTTCAATTAGATAATGTTGAATTCACCTCAACATTTATGCCTGGCAACAGCCTTTGAGGCCACAGGGTGATGATTTCATTAGAGGAAGGAATGTGGGGGTGAGAGGGGGAAAAAAACCTTTTGTTGAAAAACAAATATCTTCCGTGGGACCTCTTTGAGAAAAAAAATAGCTCTGGCATGGTGTTAGCAAGGGGGATGTGGGAATAAATACCGTCCAAGCTCTTCTCTCACTGTAAATATTCCCTTTTTTGCCAGGTCTCTCAGGCATGGTCTCTGCTCAACCCCCTCCTCTCTCCTCACCAGAGGACCACGGTCAGGGCCACGGTGTCCTGCCGTGTCCCATCCAGCCAGCCTAACCATGCAGGAGTGCTGCAAACTGCACCCAAATTTCATATCAAAGCCCCCTCATTTTGCACTGGCAGAGCAGACCAGTGGCAGCCCAACCCCGGGGGGAGGTGATGCTGGTTATAGCAGTGACCCTCCAAACATTCCCAGTTCCTTAGACAACTGCATAGCTCTGCTTGTGTGCAGCAACCTCTATACCCCCGTGCTTAGAGGTCATGCATACTTTGCAGTACACTTATTTGGTTATCAAAGGTATTGCTGATGTTTCAGATAAGGACTGGAATTTTCTATATATAATTAACAGTAGGGGGTGGTGCTTTTTTGGATAATGGGATCTTTAAATGCTGGAGGTTGAAAGAGAGTGGAAAAGGGACACACATATGATCTTTCATATAAAGTAGTCTGGTGATAATGCCCAGCTCACGCTCCCTTCGCTCACCCTTTGATGTTCAGACCATGCCTCAGATGTGAGAAGAATGACTGACAGTCCTGAAACAGTGCATGGTGTCTAATGAGCTCACTGGGGCTCATCACTCCTGGGTTTGACATTTTCATCTGAGCCCCTCGGCTTCCAGAGCTTTGATTCACCCTTTTGTTTGCCCACAGCTCTGTGGTGTTCAAAACTGGCCATCTCCAGGCCATCTCCAGAAGACAGAGCCAGCCCTTCCCATGAATCACAAAACTCTTCAGCTGGTGTCTGCAGTCGTACCTGCCCCTCATCGCTTTCCACTACTGACCACCATCCTACTCCAGGATTTGGCTTGCAAGACCAGTGTCTGTCACCTCTGCATTCACACCCCATGCATATTCACCATCAGGCGGCAGAGGCAAAGGAATTTGGCTTTGCCTGAGCAGCCACAGTAACTCCAATGTAGACCACAGGACAGTAACCCCACTGTAGACCACAGGAGGACTGTAACTCCAATATAACCACAGGAGGACTGGCCTTGGGGGTTCCCTGCAGTGGCAGTGTGCATCCCTGAGCTCCTGCTTATGGCATTTGCTGCAGCAGGCTGGATGGTGTTGAGCAGATAGACTGAACCCTAAAGAGGTTGCTGTGCATGGGAGCCATTTAAGAAGATAAGAGCTGCAGTCTTAGATAAGAACAGTTATACTGTTTCCTTGCAGTCACAAGAGATTGTAAGTGAACCTTCTCTGACATCTCATATTAATGGAGGAGGGACAGAGTTGCTCTGCAAATACCAAATATCACTCCCAAACTTTGGATTCCCTGTTATTTTGAGATCCTTATGCCCTATTGAACGCAGCAATTCATTCAGCTCCTCGAGGCATTTCTTTCTGCAATGATCCTGCAGGGGAAAGCAGCTCATGGCCTCCCTTCTTGCAGAGAACCACTGACTACCCCTGCTCTGTAGCACCCAACAGCTCTGATGTCCTGGCCATAGGGATCAGCTGCCAAGCCTAATGACCAGTCAGACAGGACACCGAGTAGCAGCAGATCATTAGGTAAATTGAAACACAGCCCTTGCGGTTGAGCGGATAACACTGGCACTCAGACTCTGCCTTAAACTTCCTACAGGGACATCAGTGAGATTCCCCTGTGTTTGGGATTGTCTGCCTTTAAAAGGCAAAATGGTATTTGCTCAATGGCCTAAGAGCTATAGATGAAAATAAGTCCTAGGTTTAGTCATCGTTTTGGTGGCTCTGGTTCTGTACATTAATATGTCTAAGTTAAGTTAAGAAATGTCTCCATTTAGCATGTGGTATTTTAATATCTGATTAGTTTTTGAAGGCTGAATAATGGCTTTTGTGACAGATGTGATGTGTCACCTTTCTAGGCTTTCAGAGGGTACTAGTGAGTTTCATGACCTTTCACTTCTCAAGAGTCATTCAGACACTGAACTCTGATGACATATGGTGCAAATAATCATTTCAGCTGGCTAGGGTTGGGTATTCCCAGCACAGCATTTCAGATTCAGTTTACTTTTCAATGGTTTATTTGTAATTTCTGCTAAACCACAGTTAAAGTCATCCAGCACTTGGCTGCTAGATCAGTAATAGATGACCCTTGCCAACGGCACAGTTTGTTTTGAAGGCCAGTATAAGTAGGAAACTGAGAATAAATTGATAGGTTAAGAGGTTGTATGTGGGAACTGATGCCCATCCTCTGTCCAAACCTCAACTTCCAGAGCTCAGTGCTGTCATCCAGATGACCATGGCCAGCAGTAAAAGCTCTGTAGTCAGAGCTGAGCCTGAAAAAGAAGAAACTCTCGAAAATATCCTTTCAGAAAAAAAGAAAGGCTTCTCAAAAACAAGTCCTCACGCTTTCACCTTAGCACACCGTGGTACCGGCATCCACCATCCAGCACCTCAGGGTATTTTGCGCTTCGGCTCTCGGATTCAATCCAGCCTGGTTAGTCCTGTCCTCGCTGCGATCGTGTGCCGGGAGCATCGGCTTGACTCCGGACTGTTTCTCGGGAGTCTTTCCCGTCGGCAGCACGCCAGTCCCCTCCCTGCTGTGGCACCGCGCCCCTAGGAGTTGCACTCCTCGCAGTGGCAGGAGAGGATGTAGCGGTAGGTGGCCGTGAGCCGCATGCCCCCCGAGCACCGCAGCCTCATGGCCTTCAGCTTGGAGGTCTGGGGGCGGCAGCAGTGGCAGGTGGAGCGGAAGGGCTGCTTCAGCACCGTGCTGAAGGACACCATCGGCTCCGAGCGCGACGTCTGGCTGCAGCGCCCCTCGCAGCGAGCCAGCAGCACCATCTGCGAAGGAAAAGAAGCACGAGTTAGGAAACGTGCCCCCTCCCGGCTGCTGGAGCACAGGGAACACCAGCAGATGGCTACCGCCTTCCAGCCTGGCTGGTTTTTTATCACTGCGTCCCGCCACGCTAATGAGGGCACCCAGCCCCACGCAGTGCTTTTGCCTCTGAGTTGCGCCTGAGAGAGCGGAGGAGACAACACGGGCAGCAGGGAAAGCAAGGACTCCTCCTGGAGTCCTTGGCACTGACACCAATGAGGTCAACAGGACGTGGAGTGACTTCAGGACTTCAAATGATCACAGCCAGCCACGCTGTGGCTGCAACTGTGACTTGCTGACCCCAGATTTGTGTCAGCCGAGCCCTTAAATCATCAGCCAGACTGGTATTTCAGTGTTTTGAGTGTGTATACTCGTGAAAATGTCTCAGATTCTTGGATATATGAACACATAAAGTAGAAATATAAAGAAGATGCTCAGTTTGGTGCTTTAAAGAAGTTTCTAGCTCCCTCCTTTCACAAAATATCACCTTGAATATGTATTTGCAATTGTATGTGTGTATATATATCTATATCATTGCATCAATTGTATATGTATAAAACGCATTGCATGGCATAAGGCAGTGCAAATGTAAAAAGAAGATGAACTTGTTGCCAAATATGAGGGTTCCCTAGTGAGATTTTCCAAAAACAGTGCAGGCTCCATGTTTCTTCTCCTTCTGAGTTCACCATCTGAGCTGTGACCATAGCAAGGGGATTTCCACAACAGGAGGCACTAAGGAAGGAAAGTCCATGCAGAGGAGATGGATAGAACATTAAGCACTACATAAATCTTGGAAAGGATCCTCTAAAGCTCAGGAAGTTATGCATTAGAAACAGCTATTACCACCTTGATAATGGGTAAGTGTTGTAGAAGTTTGAAAAAACTCTTACACTTTCATGGGGACAGAAATATTAAGTCCATATCAGCTAATTCTGCTTAACCAACATAAACCTCAAAATCAGCTTATTATATCATCCAAACTAAGCAGTGAAACAGTTGTCTTTCCTACAATTAAGGAAGAACATTACATTTTAACCATGCTGCACAAATCTCATGTTTTTTTCCAGTTATCCAAAAGGATAACTACAGATGTGACACCAAATATTTTAACATGTTAAACCCTTTGTGGCTTCTTTCACTACACATTTTCATCTGACTGCAAATCTCCAAGTCATGCAAGCAGGTATGTCAAGTGTAGGATTTTCTCTTTAGTCATAGTCATAAGGAAAGATTGGATAAAAAGAGAGAGAATATTCCTAATATCAAGTAGGAAATTCCAGCACTGTCTGTGTCCATGGGAAAGGCACTGATCATCCATTGTACAGTGCTTAAAAATTACTCTTCCAAGGGTACTTGCATGCTAAATGGTTTGCTTAGAAATGTATGAATATATTAACAACTACAGTTCCAGTCAAGACAGATCACAAGGAAGATGTCTTCATGAGCTGATAATCTGTGATTGGTACCATCTTGTTTCTTGGTTAAATTAAGAGATGGGTTCTTATTGTTCCCTGACAAATTTGCCATCCTTTATGATTTGTAGCATAAATTTATGATCTCCTTCCTGTGATACTGTATATTCATAAATAAAATTAAGTGCAGCTGTTAGTAATAATATTGTGGGAAGAAAATGTCAGTGTAGAGTCACACCCAAGCTTTAGCTATGTCAAGCTCCTTAACACCAGTGTCTTTAGAGCATAGAGAAGAGGGAAACAGACAATTCTTACAGTCCTAGCACCCCATTAATGTCGGATAAAGGTCCATTTATTTCCCCTTGATAAACAAAACTCACTTCCCAGGCACAGGGCTGCTGAGGGTATTACCCTCAGATACACAGGTATCTAATCCTGCCTGCCTTGCAAAGGAAAGGCAGCAGATTGGGATGTTTAAACCAGTTGGTTTCTTTTCCAGCATCTTGACAGCTCTTATTAGGTCCCCTGCTTTGAGCAGTTCACCAGACCTCTGTCACAGGCTATTCCCAAAGATCTGGCTGAAGAGGAGGGTGAAGACCAATCTAAAGGCAGCTGAGAAAGGCAACAGAGCAGAACTCTCCTCAGCAGTGGCAAAGGGGGATGTGCAGCAGCCAGGAGTTGCTTTTCCAGAGGTTCAGAGGAACTCCAGGGTCCCTTCCAACCAATCATTCCTATGATTCTGTAATTTCAGCCCAAATATGACAGTGTGGTCAAGGTGACTTCAAATGGTCAATGCTTCTGGAGATGGAACAGCCAGTCTCTTCTGGTACTGCTGCCCTGAGGGCTTTTCATGGCGCACATCTGCTCCTGTACCCACACTTATCTTCAGAAAGACCAGGGGAAAAAAAAACAAATCCCCAAGAAACAGAATTAAGGGTTACAGAAGAGTAGTAGCAATGTAATTATAGGGTAGAATTAACTGATGTGTCCATATTTTTGTCTCAATACATTTCTCATAAACAGCTGCTTTCCTAGTGCAAACCCAGCCAATATTTATTCAATGTGCTGCCACATTTATAATTGCTTAGCAAGTCTTGTCTTTAAAAACTTGTCTTAGTCTGTGAAAGCTCTAATTTAAATCTCAAATTTTACTGGCTATTTAATTTTTCATAAGATGGTGGTCAGTATTCATATAGTATAACATCACAGAGTTGGGTTTATGCCCCGTTTTTGGATGACAGTGTAAACTCTTACAAATGGCACAGGATCAAGGATATCAAGTCAAACTTGCAGGATTAAAAAAATCCAAAATTCCCATTTTTATACCTTTTTAACCTTCTGGGCTAATCCAAAGTCCTCAGCAAAATTTAACCTCCTCCTCCTCATAAATCCAGAACAGCACCAGTGGATTCTGGCAGGTGTGCAAATGAGCTGGAAATAGCATGTGCTTTAAAAGCTTTGCTTTGCCATTTAATCAATTGCACCAGCTGCTTATTGCATGGTGTACTGCAGTGCAATAGAGATTATCACCTAAATAATTAGTAATGCTGTGATGGCATAGCACAGTGTTACAGGGGGTGTATATATAGTAAAAACGTGTGGGTATTTGTATTTTATAACCTGATACATGTGCCTCTTGTCTCCCCTCATCCCCTGCACATGTGAGCTTGTGTGTGTCACCTTGTGATGCTGCATCCAGATTAACAGAGTCCTACAACAAGGGGACCACGTGGATCTATGAGCATGGAAGAAAAGGTTTTCTTACTTGAAGTCAACTCATAGGTACAAAAGAAAGCAACCTGAGGCAATATTGGATTCTGATAATTTGAACTGTATTCTGGAAACCCAGAAGCTGTGAATTGGTTTGTTATTCATGGTGTCTGTAGTCCTCTTTTCTGCTCTCTTCAGCAACAGCAGATGGGCTGAGGCGCATGAGAACAGATTTTCACGCAGTATCCATGGCCTGGCTGCGAGCAGGCATTACTGAAAATCTCCTGAGCTACCTCATGAGTCTTCAAACATCTGCTAAATCTCTCTTCATCTGGTCTGTGTCTCTCTGGGCTGGATTCTTCAGTGCGAGGCTGTCAGTGGTAGCACACTTCTGGCACATCTGGACAAAGCACTTGTGACAGCCAAAACTGTAATTTAGGAGGCTCTGGTTGCAGCAGAGAGGCAGTCCAGCACATGGATGAAGATCAGTGGGTCTCCATGACAGAGGTCAGGCAGAATCCAATATGGTCAGGAAAGACAATACCTCACGAACTGATACAAACATTTCCTTGAAGTCAAAGGAAAACACAGTTTTTCAGGAAAAAATGGCCTTCTTCCATCCCTCTTTTGTGTCTCTTTTATACTGTAATGGACCATGTTTCTGAAGGCTTTGGAAAACTGTTTTCATCACCTGCCTGAGGCCACAAGCAAAAGGGATTTTAATGATTAAATTATATTGGCTGGATGTTTAACAGAACTGCTTCCCATGTGGATACTATTGGCAGCCTCCACGGAGAAGCACAGTGGACATAATCCTTTTTTAATCAGGATGGACAGCAAACATAATATATCTTGCAATTTCTGAGATAATTTTTGTCTTCTGTAATTCTATGTTGCACTAAGAGGGAAAACATAAGGAGTAAAAAAGGATGTCTCAGTGAAACTAATATATCACACCAAAAAAGGGCAAAGTCTCTGCTTGGCATTGTCAGCCCAAGCTTCACAATGGAAACTTGGTGAAAACAAGAGGTACCACAATTCCCACAGCTACTTCCACAGAACCTTCAATTTTTTTACTTATTTATATTTTGTCATTATATATATATATATGAACAGACATTGCATCTAGTTTTCATTAACAAGTCTAATATTCATCTGTGTTTATACACTAGATCCAGAACAGAAGCCATATGTCTACCAGGATGATTCAGATCCCTGAGACCTTAAAAAAAAAAAAAAAAAAAAAAAAAAAAAAAAAAAAAAAAAAAAAAAAAAAAAAAAAAAGAGAGAAGCCTCATTTAATGGAGTTTTCTAGGAAATGTCAAAATCAGTTCACTTTTTATGGAAACTGTTTTCATTTTCTACTTCATGAGAAAGTCCATAAACTTGCAATATTGTTTAAAAAATGTTCTTGAAACCATTGTGGAATTTAGGAAGCCAAAAGATGTGATAATATTTTCAAACACGATTTCCATTAAAGGCTTGATTTAAGAAAATCACTGACTTTTTCAGCCAGAATTGCAAATGTTTATGTCAACAGCTTTTTTTCTCAAAGTTCAGTTTTTGAAATAATATGGTTTTCATTACAATGCATTCTGTGTTCTCATTTCCACCAGTTCCACTCCTAAAGGCCTGATTGTTTTTCTCTATCATTAGGGATGCTAGGAAACAGAATTGTTGATAGGTTCCTTTCCTTCCTTCCTTCCTTCCATCCGTCCTTCCATCCTTCCTTCTGTCCTTCCTATTGTTCTTTTTTTCAGAAAAATAACCCTCTATCTGTCATCTGTGGCAGTCAGAGTTTTAAGAGAAACTCAGAGAGTGGTGGTGGCAATGTTGGAGCAGAGAAAGCAGGCACTTAGTGAGGCAGTGGCACCTCCCAGCCATCAGGCAGCACACTGACAGAGTCCTGAACAGATGCAATCACAGCTCTTGGACCAGGGAGGAGACCCCACCTAACACAATTATCCTAAAAGCCTCTGCCAGGACAGCCAGCTGAGGAGCAAAAGCCTTTGGCCTCTGGCAGAGCAGGGAGTGGAGGGTGAAGGCAGCTGGGTGGAGCATTGCCCTCCTGGACCAAACCTTCAGGACAGCTCAGGGTCCTCGGGTCTAACTGGTGCGCTCACATACCGGTAAGTAAAACCCACCCACACACCTACACTTACCAGCTTTGCCTCTCGCTGGAGTCAACTGCAATAAAATCAATATCTCACAGACAGATGCACCTCTGCAGTTCTGTGTGTTAATGCCAGATGTGCCCCAGATGGTAAGAAGGTCTAGTCTAGGCTAAAAGCAAATCAAAAGACCTCTCCTGAATCGCAAGTAGCGCATGATTTTACTAGTTGGATTCAGCAGCAGCAGGGAAAAAGTCTGTGGGTTCCTACTGCTGTGATTCAGGCAAAATGAGGCAGACAACACTGCTGAGAGATCACTGTAAGGCAGCCCACAGCAGGGCTTTTCCCTCTGCCCAATTTTGAGGCTATCAGCCCCTCTCTGGCGAGCAGACACAGGAAAAGCCTGGCTGAAGGTGCATGGTGAGGGCAGCAGCTGTCCTGGTGCACAGGGTGGGCACAGAGCACCCAGCAGGTCGTACTTTCTCTCTGTGCTCCATTTCAAGTTTTATGATCTGCTGCTACCTGTGGAATTGCCTCACCCCTGCACTGACCACGGGGAGCAACGTGCCTCGTTCTGCACACAAAGCATCTGGGGGTGTCCCCAACCAGCACTGCATCCATCTCAACTACTTGGATCCTCTCTCCTTGTTAATGCTCCCAGCATCCCTGCTGCTGCTGGGGTTTTCCATCAGGCAACATGGCAGGCATCCCTCTGTCACATCTCTGCCTCCCATCACTCTCTTGCCCAAGGCAGGGCTGGCATGAGCATTGGCTCTGGGAGTAGTTCCCTGAATGTACAGACTGTACTGACCCAGATGGAATGAATTAGGACAGGACAAAAGGGACCAGCAAGGATTTTCCCATTGTTTCCCCCCATTCTTCTTCTCCGTGCAATGAAATAAATGGCTGTAGGCTACATGTGCAGGCTTGTAAACTGTTTTGACACAAAACTTTTCAAGTTTGAAATCCCGAATGAAAAGTAATCTTGTATTTCTGTCTGCTCCTAAGCCCTACAGAAAACACCCAAGTGTCATTCTGCATGGCAGTAAAGTCCTGAAGTTAAGTGGGGGGCTGGGAGGAACTAAGCAGTGTTCTTCACAGTCTTTGTTAACTACCATTTTACAGCTTGGTTCTTTATCTCAGTGCTTCACCTCTAAAGTCACAAATTTACATGCTCCAGATTAAAGACTCATTTGAAGGAGGGGGTGATTGGGATGATCTAAGCTTCCAAACTAGCCTGTCTCCTTGGCACCCTCAGCTGAGACCCCAAATAAATCCTTAACATTCATCCTTAGACCTCTTTGAATCTTAGCATTTACTGCATGTGTGGTGTGTTTCTCCTTTTGAAAAGGTGAAAAGAGAGCTCCAATTCTTATGTACATACAAGATGTCTCCACACCCCTAAGTCTCTGCAAGCTAGATTTTGGTAGATAGGAATTTATACAGAGAAAATCACCCAGAATGGTTCATTTTAACAACTCCTCTGGTGCAGCTGCTGCGACGAGGTGAGGGAAGGGCTTACCTTGGAGCTACACTTGTAGAGGGGGTGGGTGATGGAGTCGACGTAGTGGTGCCTCATACAGCGGCTGGGGTCGGAGTCGATCAGGAAGGAACTGTCTGTTTTACTGTCCGTGTCTCCCATCATCGCCAGGAGCGAGAGCATGGAAATCGAAGCTGCGAGTACATGATTTCCCATTGTCGAGGAACTTCTCGCTGGTAACAGCAGAGGGAGGTAGAGTATTAAAAAAACTCCAAATTCTGGGAGCCAGTTCCTTTCCAGGACGGTGAAAAGTCTGGTTTAAGTGTCTTAGCCGACATTCTTCTTCTCGAGTTGGAGTTTACCGAGATTGTAATCCATCAAAGGATCTCTCTGCGCAGCTGGGGTAAAAGCAACATAAATCACAACCCTGACCAAAAAGACCGCTGGAGGAAAATAGACATAAATAATATTAAGGCACACAGGACCTTTACTACCCAAAATATTCGCTCTGAGTGATCATTGTTCCCACAGTAGGTAGAGAATATGGCATTAGGAAGGAGATGTCAGGGCCTTGTTAGTTTTAGCATTGCTCTAACCTTTCACTGGGGAGAACCTTCTTACTTTTAACATCACAAGTGATGCAATGCCAGTCTTTTTCGCTTGGTGATGTCTCTGGTGTGTTCCCCTTAAAACTGGTGAATAGTAACACATCAGAGACTTCTGCAGGTCAAAAGGACTGTGTAACCACTGAAAGTGTCAAAGAGGGGCAAAGCTAGGCTGCCTCCTGCATTACAGATAGGAATTTCTGGCCTAGGTAGCACATGGAAAGGCTGGAGGCAGGTTGAGCTGTGGCTCTAGGGGCTGCCTGTCAGTACCCTGCAGCTTCTGTGCTGCAGGGACAAGGGACACACTTAGGATGAAGGGATGCTGAAGATCCAAGCCCAGGCATAACCAAAGTGATCCCTCAGGAAACTTGCTGAGCATGGAGCTGCACTGCATGAAGAACTAGGTCTCTGGCTGTCCTGCCCTCCCGAGTTCCAAACTCACATGCACATGGGTGGACACGCTCTACTTGCTTACTTGTCAGGCAGTGCTTCCTCAGTGTCAGTCTCTTCCACATTAATTAAAGCGCAGCATCTGAAAAATACATGTATTATTCCATAATACCCAAGTACATCCCAGCTATCAATTGGGAAAAAAATATATTTACGTTGAGTCCTGTGGCTATCTACCCAGGAATCCGGATTTCTGGTCATGTTGGAGACCAGGACATAACCGCAGGACAGTCCCTGAAATGCTGTCCAGAGTTTTGTGCTGGCAGGGGAAGGAGGGCATCTCCCTCAGCTGCTTCTTCACAACCCCTTGATCCTTCTCACAAAGCCCTTAGTCTCGACTGAGGGATTTAATTTCACTTTTACTACAAAGAGCTATAGCTTGAAAGAGTTGTGACTTATCCATCTAAATACAGCCCGATGAAGGATAGTCAGAAGATACTCACAAGCACAGTTAAAAGTGCAAAGTCTTTCTGAAGAAACTTAAGAAAAAACGGTTCCCTGCTCCTGAAGAAATGCCCCTGCAGAGCCCCTTGAGTATTTAAAGATCTGATATGTGCCTTTACTGCCTTATACAAGCGTCTTTCAAAACCGTTTTCTGGCAATCCTCTGAACCGACTGATACTCATCTCCCAAACGGCCTGAATTGACGAGGCCTCCCCACCAGAGTGCTTGATGATTTGTGTTGCTTTATAGCTTGCTCAAACACTTCTGTGAGAGGAGTGCATGGCAGTGACAAACGCTTCCAGAGTTCATCCAAGTTGGGATGGCGCTGACGTGACATACAAAGTCTCATGCTGGCAAGAAGTGTTATTTGGGATGCTCTGTGTATTAGAGAGACAAAGATGCTCTGTGTATTGGACACTTCTGTTGTTGTTGTTTCAAACTATTATCCATGTGCCTAAGTAGGAAAGGAAAAATTATGCGGCTGTGGATTTAAATGATTTAAATAATTTTTTCCCCCGAGTCTGACATATGACTTGGTGTATTTTCCTCAGCAAATGTGACATTAAACCAAAAATACTACGTCTTTCCCATATAAAAAAAAAAACTTAAACAAACAACACTAAACACTTAGGATCTCAGATACATTTATGCACAGTCTCATTCATGTCAATAAATATCCCTCCCAAACATTTTTACGGGGTAAGAGAGAAACCTCTCGGTCATGGGAGCTGGGACAGAATCCCTTCCAGAAGTGAGCTGTTCTACTCTAGTTCATGCAGATGATGCCTAAGGATTATCTAACAGGAGGAGTGATGCAATTTCTTTTTTTCCTCTATGTTTAACCTTTTACCTACATTCCTACTCTTTTTTATAAAGAGGCTGACCAAAACATGCTGCTTGGCAAGGTCTCTCTCCAACATAGTTAATCAGTATTACACACCCAGTAATTCCCTCTCTGTCCAAATAAATTTACTTGATATTAGACTCTCTCATCTCATGTGTTATTACATCCAAGGATTCTCATTTCTCATTCTTTCTATCCCACTGTTAATTTTGTGCTTCTATATCTTTCCACTTTTTTGATCAGCATGATTTAATACAGTGAGAGAAATCTGGAGTCCTGGCTCAGTTCTCAAAGGCTTATCACTCTAGTTTTCTTCAGGAAATAATTGGATGACACAGAGTTTGCCTCATGAAAACACTGTGAGAAAGCTGGAAAGACACAGGGAAAAGTGTGAGAAAAGGAAAATGGCTGTACCTTCTTCAGGATAAGCACAGAACAAGAAGTATTAACACTTTAACAATCTTTTAAGATTGCCCTAATACTTCCCTAGCAAAGAAATGTAGTAGGCTTTGGCGACAATAGTTTGAAAGAGGAAAAACACTACTGTTATCACATATTTATATTATTAAAAAAAAAAAAAAGAAGGAGAGAGAAAACAGATGTAAATGTGATCCATCTTCTGTGAAAAAGCTGTGTGCATTTGTGGATAGACATACTGGCAAAAGGAGTGTGTAGGTGCATCTCCTGACATACCTATGGGAAGTATGCACATACATTTCTCAAGTACATAGGCCATGTATAATATATAGGGAAGAAAAAGTCTTAGGGGGATATTTAAAAATACAGAAGTTAGACTGTAGACTTTTGATTCTGTAGAAAAAAAGTATAAACATTTTCACATGGATGCATCACCATGACAAGATATGTTGGCATGACATTTTCCATTTCCAGCTGATATTGTGCAATGGCATTTCACTTGAACTTAGCTTTTTTGCTTTTTTTTTTTTTTTTTAAGTTAAAGATTGTATTCCTTTTGAAATGCTGAAATTACAAAATCCTAGACCACACATGATATCAGGATTGACATATGAGGTTTCCAGCCTACTCCCCTGTCCAAAACCAGAAGCAGGTACACCTGTAATCATTAATCATCATCATTGATGACATTTTGTTTCATTTGGAAAATATGCTTTTTTAAATAAAATCCACTATTTGACATAGAAAATTTTTTTTCTTCTATTTCAGCTGTGTTTTCCTCAGTTTCTTTTCATGTAAAAACTGTGGTAGACAGCCCATCTGCCAAGCTAACAATAGAGGAGGTAAAATGCTTCCTCTTCTGTAAAGAAAAAGATTAAAAGGTGACTTCATATTCTCAGGCTGAAAATTGGCTCCAAAAATATTTGGCCTAACAGTGGATGAAAATCACTGCTTCACATTTTTTTCAGAATTCACTGATATGGGCAGTACATTTTGTTAGTAACAGGCTTACAGTTCCCTTTCCATATAACTAGTTTGCAGGAATTCAAAGAGACATTAACACACTAAAAGCTGTTACAGCTGTTACCTAAAACTGCTACAGCTGTTACCTAACAACTTTAGGGAAAAATAGAAAACATCCCAGAAAAAGACCACAGTAATATACAATTCAAGACTGTATTGCTCATGGACATAGGGGTAGAGTTAGAGCTATTTTTCCAACTCTCTGTTCTTATTAGCTGCTTTCTGAATGCTGAAATAAAGATTTCTTATCATAGTTCCAGTATAATTTAGACAGTGGTGAAGGTTAAGGTTTTGTTTTGCTTTAAGGACAGAAGAAAATTCCATCATCTGGAATTATTTAGCCAGTGGCTTTGTGAGAACGTAAACAGAAATCCCCTTTTTGCTATGTGTCTTGGAAAAAATAAAGAGCTGAGCAATTCTCCAAAGGTCTATTGGATCTGTACTGCTTTTTCCCCAGAAGGTAGGAAGGGAGCAGTGGAAAAGCTCATTTCTACTTGGTATATTTCTACTTGGTTGTTCCCTGCTCCTGAGCCCCCTGAATTAGGCATGAATGTATGTTCAGCTTGGCCTTCATTTGCTGTGCATTTTTTGTGTTTGAGACTTCTGCTTGACCACGAGGGTACAGTTCAAGTCACTCAATGCTTTTTATGTTTTGGAGACTGCCAAAATCCCGTGGAAGCAGCGGTGTGTATATATAACTTAAGCCTGGCCTTGCATGCTGTGCATATTTAGTAAACACAATTACTTGGATCCTACCATGTGGTTCCCTCATTCTGAATTTGTTATGTAAACAGAAGAGTTACAAGACTACTCAGTTTCTCCAAACTCCAGCCCTAAAAAAGTGTCACTAACCATATATGTGTATATATGTGTGCGTGTGTGTGTGCAATTCACTGCTGCTGTTCTGACAAAAATAAGCCACAGCGTTCTTCACGAGACCAGAAGGGATTTCTCAAGAGCTTTATCTAATCTGGAAAAGTTTAGACCAGAAGGATTTGGGGGCTTCATGGTTGAAGTTCGGACTGGAGTGGAAATTACTGTGTTGTTGGGCAAACTACAGTCAGGCTACACTAGGTTTGTTCTCCAGGGTTAAATTCTCCACTGCCACTACAAGGGTGGCTTGGTCTGTTCCCAGAGATCCTTCAGCACCCACAGCACTCAGATGGCTTCCAGCCCACGCAACCACCGGCACCGTGCCTGGGAAATGGCTGGGAAGCACTGTGTGCTGTGGGCCTAAATGGTGTAAGTGACAATCTGAGCCATTTAAGAGAACAGTTTATGCAGCACGAGAGACAACCCCAGATGAGATGCTGTGTCTGATCCTGCTTTCTGCTGAACCAACTCAGAGTCTTCGTCAGCTTCAGTGTATCTTCTAGCTCAGTAAATAAATGCAATAATCTGCTTATCTAGTTACTTCTCTGTGGCCATTTCTGTCCCAGCAGGGAGGGAGCTGGCCTCCTATATATGCTATCAAAATCCTCTCTCCACTCTGCAAGCTGCTCTCCAAAACACCTGACAAAGTCACTGAGTGGCCATGTGGCAGCAGGTGAACACAGGGAACTCCAGTTGTTTGGGAAATGCCTCCACATGCAGCTTTTGAACAGGTTTCTTCCGATGCTGAGGCAGGGCAAATACCAAACAAAATACTTTGAGTGAGATCCTTACAGGTCTAAATAAGCCAATGTTCACCCCAGGCCATGTTGTACAGAAGGGGGTTTGCTCAACTGACATCCAGCTGTGCTGAAGCTTGTCCCTTTGACACCAAGGGGAATGTCTTCACCCATTGCAGAGAAGCTCCACCCACACCTTTCACAGCAGGTTACAGGGCAGTGTGTGCCTTCAAGGAGAGAACGCAAACAACGTGCACTCCTGGACAGAGCTGGCAGCAGATGATGGGCAAGAGGAGAGGGGAAGGGAAAAGGGGGCAGGAAGGAAAACAGACTTAAAAAAAAGGACTTAAATGTCTTCTTCTGGATGTCCACAGGGGGAAAGCCCATCTTCTGGTTCTACTGAGGTTGTGCTGTCCTACCATCTGACTGCTGATAATGCACAGTGCTAATAATGCCAAGGTCATGGGTTTCATCACCAGAGAGGCCATTCACTTAATAGCTGGACTCAATGATCCTTGTGAGTCCCTTCCAACTCAGAATACTCTGTGACTTCATGCACTGTTCTGCAAAGCCCAAGAAGATGAAAGGGACATCACCTCTGAGCAGTCAGTGTCAAACACACAGATCTGCTAGATGAGAGAAACTCCTGCAAATCATTTTCTCTTGTGAGGCTTCCTTAAATATTTTAATATTTCAGGAGATTAATACCTGTGACGGTGAGCAGATTGAAAAGGGAAAAAAAAAAAAAAAAAAAAAGGAAGACCATGGCATTTGAAGCATAAGAAACAACATAGTAATTGCAGCAGATATAATGGCAGCACCCTGGGAGCATCAGCACACACGCGATGAGCATGCACAGGACTGGCTCCTTTGGCTTCAACAGCGCAGCTCCTGTAAGGGTTCACGTCGTGGGGTCCCAGTGCATGAGATGGAACAAATGCATCTGAACAGCACTTGAGCTGGGCTGAGCTTCCCTCTCCCTTAGAAGTTTCCAGTAATATTTCCAGCCCTTCAGGTGGCTGGGAGAGGGGGAGCTAACCGTGCCTTCCTGCTAGGCGGTTGAAATAACAAACTCTAGTGGGTACTGCGAGCTGGCACCTGGCCAGCAGACAGGCACAGGCCAGCACAGAGAAAAGGATTTAATGCACTCACAATGAATAACTACTGGGGGACAAAAGAGTGCTTGTATTTTTATTCTTTCCTTTTCCTGCTTCCAGGAAACTTTAAATAGATTGATTAGGGGCATGCATGGGATATCTCTCTAATGAGCCAGTAGAGCTCTTTAATGGTGAGGTGATGCCAGCTTTGGATTCTTTCTTTCTTCTTGCACCTTGCTGAACACCAGAGTAGTCACGGTCTTGAGTCTGGGACAGAAGAGGAATACAGTTTTCCACCAGGTCATCCAGAGGGTTCTGGATGGGATCACTCCTTGGTGAAACACCAGGCAGAGTGCCGAGGTGCCTAAGTAAGGCTGCCCATCCCTCCCAGCAGGAAAACCAGCGAGGGTGGCTGCTGGCTGCAGTGCAAATGTTCCCAGCCAAGCATTAGCTATAGGATTTGCTTCAGTAGTTACCTCTGCTTTAGTCTTATGACTCAACATGAGGCAAAATGACTCTTGGCCAAATTACAAGCTGCTGAGAGAGGTCTAGGGCATTCAGGCATGTGTCCTCTACCTGTTGGAGTGTGTTAAAAGCAGGTGGCAGGTTTTGTTCCCTAGTTTTTGCATATTTCCGAGAGAACTCAAAGGCTGTAATTATCAATAGGTGCAGGAGTAGGAATGAGCTTCTTACTCTTTAATATTAAGCAAAGAATCCCTGTCACTGGGACCAGCACAGAGTGCTATGCATGCTGGAGACAGCACACGATGGAAGGGGATGTTCGCTCTTTTCTGATGTTAGGGGCAAAATCCTTTCTTCTTTTATAAACAGGCAAAATTCAGACCATCATCCATATACCTCTGATAATTAGGGGACCTAAGTATTTGGCTCGTGGTAACAATTTTATATCTTCTAACAAGGGGAGCAGTGTCCCCCTAGGTCCCACTCCCTTTGAGCCACGCTGCTATGACAGTAATGTGATTGTCACTGCCATGGTATGCTTAACCTTTGCCAAACCAGAGCTGAGGCATTAACTCAGATCCTCAACTCACATGTCTTAAAGGGCAACATAACCTGTGCTGCCTCCACACTGCTGGGCTCACATAGTCTGCAGCTCAGTAATAATGAGCATGTAAATGTGACAAGTGTGAGCCGTAACAATGATTAATGCAAAAAAGAAAACTAACAAAGGGAAGCTGAAAAATAGCAATGAGGAGGAATTCCTAGGACTGGTGTCTCCATGGCATCCTGCCCTGACACCAGAAGAGAGGCTACACTTGCCTGTGGTAGAAAAGATCTCCATGCCACACAATGGAATTCCAACCAACAGGACAAGGACTGATGGTGTCTGGAAGTGGTAGTGCCATTGCTGCCCGGATAATAGTCTGAATTAGATGATGTGAAAAAAGAAGGAATATATAGACAGCCAGCTGCTCAAAGGCTTATTACAACCTTGCTTTTATTGTTCTGCTAAGTTAGAGGTGGGGCATCAGAGGGATTCCTTACATACCACTACTGAGAAATTTTAATATGTTCCACACTGACACAGATAAAAAGGAAATAACAGCTGATCATAGCTGGAGGAGCCTGCAGCATCTCTTCATATGCATGTACAGAATATGGGCAATGTGCTCTTGGCTCAGACACCCACACTAACCTGACCCAGCTAAACCTTTCTTCTGACACTGAGCTGAGTTTCAGCAAAAGGACTGTCAAGTGGGAAGTCAGGCAGCAGAAAAAAGGGTGATCTGGGCATGGATATTCACCCCATCCCCAGATACCAGGACATGGAGAAGGACAGGGGAGCTGAGAGGCAGAACACTTAACACTGATGAAAAGAAACACGTGTTTACACAACCGACAATGATCCGGTGCAACAAGATATCACAGAGGGCAAAAGTTGAGCTGGGCTCAGCAAAAGGACCTGTTATGCATGGGAGGGTTACAGTCACAGGGGTTTTACTTTTAAAGAGTTTTTGGAAGGGTTATAAACTCTTAAGAAGCCGAAGGTTCTGCTGATGGGGTTAGGGGAAAATCCTTTGCCACAGCAGGTCACCCTGTAGCTGCCTGCCATGGGGTCCCTATGTCTTCCTTTGATGTGGCCACTTCCAGCCATGCTGAAGAGGTGGATCCCTCAAATAACAAACTACACCTCATGTAGTAAAACTTTTTTAAAACTCAAGACTCTCCTCATACTTGGGAGGACATTAGAGACAGAGGAATTTGTAATACTTGTAACACAATCATGAAATATTCATAATTGTAGTTAAAATTGTGATATTTGGGTGTGGGGAGAGATGGTTTTTTTCTACTTTCAGTTAAGCAAGTAATCCACTAGATTTGTTGCAAAAGCAAGTCTCAGTGGCTTCATGCAAGCTTTGCACCATAGATAGTCAACTCCCTTCAAGGTCCAAGAACAACCTTGAGCGCTTCCTAGTGCATCTGAGAGCAGACAAACCAGGAAGGGAACAAAGTCAGCCTCAGGGGAAATGGGGAATGAAGCCAGCTCCAGGAGGACTGCCTGTCAAATGAGTCAAGGCAGGCATCAATGTGAGCTGCCACCTGGGCAAAAGAGACTGCAATCCTGGCAACACAAGCAGGCAAGAACACACAGATGCTATCACAGGCCCCAACAGCACGTGAGAGATTGTTCCAGTGGGACAGGTAGCTTTTGTGGGAATCAGCCATGTATGAGCAGCTTCCTGGAGCACTGCTACTGCAACCTGTACACAAGGCTACACAAAGCAAGTATCCTGCTCTGCAAGGGGCAGTCATCAGCATACAGGCATCTGATCGAAACCAGGTGCTGCACAATCCCAGAAAACCTACTTGGGACACCTTCAGGTAGATAAATCAGCTTGTAACTAATCAGCAGCAGCTCCTGATTATACCCTGTCCCTAAATCAAATTGCATTTTACTTTGTAAACTTGAAACATCTGCTCCTAACACATTTGCTTTTAACTGGAAAATCTTAAAACATTTTTTTATAATACCAGTTTTGCAAGTAAGATTTCATTATTCCATCAAGACCATGTCCATGTATGTATAAGTCACACTGGGAACCCCTGACTCAAGATGGTAAGTAATCACTCACCAAATAGTTCTGTTTAGGTCCAGGGAATTATTCATGTCTGTAACTACTCACAGATATGAGTAAGATCACACAGCCTACACAAAAGTGAGCATCATTAGTAATTTAAAAGAAAGGAGGAAAAAAATAAAATAAAAAAAAGAGGTCCTGAAATGTAGATATTCTTATATTCTTTTGAGGAGGGACAACTAACAGCACAGTGATTATTACATCCATATCTATTGACCAAACCAGGCACCTGGGTTACTTCTATTAGAAAGTAACTTTGCAGTAAGAAACTGATTTGAAGTTAATTTGTCCCCATTGTTGGTTTCAAATAATCCTTTGCTTTCAAGAGAATTGTCCCCACTACTGGCTTCTCATAATCATTTGCCTGTCCTTTTTCAAAGTGCAGAGTTCCTACCTCAGCCACTGGGACAGTTACAAAGCTTTACAAACTGTAAGTAACATTTATCATATAGGAAACAATTTTTTCACCTTTCAAGAGCTTCAGAAACCTTAAAAGGTTACTTGCCATGCCATCTGTCTCAAGCAGAAACGAATGAGATGTGTTATGGGGGGGGTGGGGGGGGTGGGGGTGGGTGAGTATGAGAACACTTCAAACGAACTTGAGGGTTAGGATCAGGAATCTACCTGACAGTCCCAGGAGAGTCAGTTCACACATACACACACCATCTTGTAAATTCAGATTTGCCACAAGAAAATTGCCTCACACCCGCCCCCCCCCCCAGCACACACTGCAGCAGTTATCTAACCCAGGACTGAGATTGGTCTTCACAGGGTTCATCTTTGTTACTCTGTTATTTGCCACTGGACCCATTCATTTGAACTTCTACATGACGAATCCACTCACCTGAATCCCAGCGGGGAGACGGGGCTCTCCTCCTCAGCCGGGCTCCCCCGGGGCAGCGTCCGCTCCCGAGCCTCGCAGTGCCACTACACTGACACTTTGTCACTGGGCTCATCACAGTGGAACTCTTCTTTTGTCCCAAAGAAACAGAGAACAGTTGTGCTCGTGCCTCTGGCGCTGACACACAGGGAAATGATCCGCCGGGAACGGAGGAGAAGAGTCTCCCTCTCTCCTTCAGCTGGCGGTCCGGGGTCCTGCAGCATCCTCCCTGTCAGCTCCCGGCTGCACAGCCACGCCGCATTACGTGTCACGCTGGCGGGGTCGGCTACCTACTAAATATACCCCTCGGCATTACAGCAAAGGCAAACACCGTGGCTTCCCTCACAGGTTTCAGCCAATCAAGAGTCTGTGTTAAATCTGTCCTAATCCACAGCCAGCCCCAGCCCACAGGGAAAGCCTCGCAGAAGTTTGGGTAAATAATAACGTGCAAATTAAGAGTTGCTCCCGCGAAGCGTGACACACAAAGCTAGAAATAAATGTTGCCCGTTGTTTCAAAATTATTCCAAGCCCTCCGGCAGATGACTGGCAAGACCACAGCATGCGTAAGGAGTGATAGAAGCAAACAGTCCAGCTTTAAACTAGCTGGCTTGCCTGGGCTCATAGAGCCCCATCGTAGTGGGACAAAGAGGGTGCTGGCGATACCAGCGCTCTCTCCGTGAATTCAGGGCAGAGTCCAGTCTGTCCATTCACTCCAAAAACGTACAGCCAGGAGCAGCACAGAGCTGCAGGCAGGAGCCCCGCATGCTCACGGGAATTGATGTTTAACCAAGTTGCTCAGAAGCACACCGGGCTACCTGTCTGACTGCTTGCAGGCATCCTTTGGACAGATGATAAAGGTACAAGGATAAGAAGGAGACACAGGTATTAGAGCTGTGTTGATTTCATGTAAACACACCTTAATTTTAAAAATGGTACAAGGACAACGTGTATGTTAGAGGAAGACAGTAAGCACTCAGTTTAGGTCCATGTAATACCCAAAATCTGTAGGAATCTCTAATTTGTGTTCTTACCTTTGGTAAATGCACCACTCCTTCCTCCCCTTGAACTCTTCAGAGAGCTAAAAAGAGGTCTTGTTACTTCCAAATGCTTTTGTTCTTCTGTCCCTCTGTCACATGGCTTGCCTTTTATATTTGCACCACACAAAAGTTAGGGCTGTTGTTTAAGAGAGAGAGGGGGAGAGAGAGGGAGAGAGAGGGAATGTCAAATGGAAAAGTGCCATTGCAGTCATATATCAATCAGGGCAGCAGCAGCAGCAGCTCACTGGCAAATGGGAATTCCACAGAAATGTGAAGCTCTTGTTATCTGAGAAATCACAAAACACCACCAGCCAAGCTACCCTCTGCAGGGACTTATTATTGGCAAGCCAGCAAATAGAAGGAAATGTAAGCGTTTTTTTAATTGTTGTTATTGTTTCGGATCTGGAGATACTTACACTGTGGTATATGCAAGCCAGTGGAATATAAATCCTGAATCAAATTCCTTCCTAAACAAATGCACTGTGTGCAGGATAAAGCAAACCACTGAGAAGCAAGGTAACAGAGCTAATTGAAGAATCTGACAGTAATGATTTGAGGAATTTGATAACTGTTTGCAGTGGGAAAATATCCACAGCAAAACTACCTTTTTCCTGGATTACTCATTAATCTCCTTTTTTTTTTTTTCTGACAAGTTTTTCTTAGATTTTTTTTTTTAACTATGATTGATCTCAGATATTCTGAATTCAGACAGTGCTGTTTCACTACAATTGGTCACCTAAAGCATCTGACATTCCCTGGCTCTCCAGCTGGGTAAGAAGACAAGCATTTTCTATATAAAATTCCACTGCTTCAGACAGCCTGCTCTGAAACTCTAAAGTTTGTCTCAAATAAATTCAGAAGTTTGCTCACAGAAGAAAACATTGTCTTTCTGTTTTATGAACCTTCCTCAGAAGAATTCCACTTTAGGGAAAAAATCCTTCAAATCTTTTATTACAATATTGTGGTTTATGCAAAAAAAATATATAATTCCTTGAGGGACTGAAGGCAGAAACCATCCACTGGACAACCCCATTTACCACAAACACATCACAGCTCTGGATGCATCAAACCCTCTTCTCTACTTCCACGGGGGGAGGGCATTTCACTTCCCTGTGGAGTTACCCCTAGTCATCCTGTGGTGTTACAGGAAGCACAGACCTAAGCTGGTTAATTAAAAAATAGGCAACATAGCTGGTCATTCACAAGCTGAATCTGTTCAGAGACACTGGCCAGCAGATGGATGGGGTCCTGTGCTGATTGTGTTTGAACTCTAAAGGAAAGTCGGTGTTTGATGGATGATGTTATCAGCTAAATGTCTTATGTGGTATATGATCAAAGAACAGATGGAAATTATGCCTTAAAAATAGAATAATCTAAAAGGGCAGTGGCCTGTGGTTGAGTAAGCATCATGGAAAGAATAAATTCTTTGGCTTGCTTTGCTACAGAGTCGGGTTTGACTGGTGGGATAAACAAATGACCCACTCAGGACTGAGACTCTTGGGATGTGAGTTTTGCTGCACATTTTTCCCCTCACATTCAGTGTTTACCTTGTTTTGCCTCTTAAGTCAACCCTGGGTTTCTCTCACCAAACGTATGTCCCAGCTCTCTGCTTCCTCTCAGGTGCCACCACAGTCACCCAGGGTGGGTGATGGCTGAGCTCACCAGCATTTTTGCCTGGCATGATGAAACATCACTGATACCCTGGACCTAAACTTACCTTAAACAGACAGACTACACATGGCAATCTTTTTTAATTTAGCCAACACTCTCCTTAAAAGAGAAGAGTATTGGCCCTTTGGTCATTGTTATCTCTCTTTTTCCATAGACAAGAAAGTGATTTACACATTCCAGTTATTTACACTAAGGACCTGCCATGTGCAAGGCCTTGCTAAGTAGCTCCTGAATGAAATCCTCCAAGAGACCATAGATATCCTACTCATGGACCTTACTGAAAATGTTGCTTTAGATTTTTTTTGCTGGTAACAACCTACGTTTCTTACCTTTGTGTCATCTACACGAAGTTAACAGTATTTGTATTAATTTTTTTGGGGTGCTAAGCATGCTTTACACACACAACAATTATCAATAATACCTCAAACAGTGATATTTTTCAGTTTTTAGCATTTTATTACCACGGCATAAATTCCTAATATGGGAAAATAAGCAAAATTTTTCAAAAATTTAAAGTGACTTTGAATTTTTTTATCTCCAACTTCCAGACCCTGTTTGGCAGCCAGTGGAAGTTAATCAGCAATTAATTGACTGCACAGGCTGGTGACTTATAAACTGACACTCTCATTTGTGGCCTTCTGAATGAACTTGCACAGGATCACAGGCACAAAAGTAGAAACATCGAATGTAGCCTCCCCCCACCTCAAGAACATTATGGCCCATAACTTTTTCATAGCTGTTCATAAATCTTCAGCCTCTCTCAACTTCTGTGACTTAATCCCACCCATAAAACCAGTCATTCTGAAGAAACAAATAAAAGTGGAAAGCACAGGAGCTCAGAGCTCAATTTTCAAAGACAGATTAGACATCTGAGATGACCCCAGATATTAGATAATATTTCCAGAAGATTTAAGGTGTCTGCTCCTATCAGTTCTGATCTAAGTTCCCTTCAGAGGGGGTCTATCTCACTTTGAAGTAGTTGCCTGAAAACAAAGTTTAGCCTCTTCGAGCAGCAAATGTAGAGTTTCTATCCCAAATTGCTTTTATTATAAGCCCATTTCAGATTGACATCGATTGCAACTTTTCTCTCTGTGAACAACCACAAATATTCTGCTGGCTCAGTTAAGTTAAATATATTTTTCTTTTTAAATAGAGAAAACCATGTGGGATAACTCCCTTCCTCAAGGACTCATGCTGTAATTTTGAAGAGATGGAGATCCAACTCTGCATGGAGTTCTACCTTGGTTCAAGCCCCACAAATTACATTGGAGGCCTGCAACCCCTACTTGCAGATTTCCTTATTCCACCACAGTATGACCTACAAGACTCATCTTTGTCCTTGGAAAAGCTTTGTACTACCACTACCTGCAATTCAGTGGGATCCAACTGTTTGCCCTGTTGGCATCACCAAGCTCAGCGTTGCTTCCTCAAAGGAGCAGGATTTCATCTCTCCATCGCGCATGTGTTGTGAAATGCATTCAGACTTGTGTAGCAAAATCAATATGTTTCTTTCATCTGAAGGACTTTGCAGTGCTACCACTTTGTAGTCTTCCCCAGGCAATTTTTACATTCTGAGACATTGGATAACAGACCTCCATGTCATCAAATGTCCTGTCAGAACAGGCACTACTTGGTGTTTGTGCTGGTTGTGCCTGCAAAGATCGTGAAAGGAGTGCACATGCAAGGGCAATTTTTAAATGTAGATATATACTCATGCACAGACTATTGCTGCAAGCAGTTAGAGGGAGTGGGATGCATTGGAATGCAGTTCAGGGAAGGACAATGCTTTGTTCCATTACTGACTTGGTGAAGGGTGTTTTATATTTGGGGGCTGGCCATCAGTATTCTTTTCATAGTTTGGAATGTAGGAGGAACTGAAAGTATTGTATTGACAGTCTACAGCAAGAAGCAACATAATACTTATATAATTAATATATACCTCAAGCAGATAAGAGGCAACCAGAATTCTTAGAGGAAGTATTTTCTATAATTTTAATAATAATAATAATAACAAAATATTAACCAAATAATATTCCCAATAAATAAAATTACACACCCACATGCAGCAATGCAGGACCAGGTGACACAAAAGACTGTCTAGTCACTCGACATTTTTCATCTCTGCTTTCTCCCCGTGCTGCTTTATTCAGATTTGTTATGCCGAGATATTTAAATGCCAAAACACACGTATTTTTCAGTAACCTGAATGCACCACTTCTTTCAATGTTTATGTGTATCAATGAATGTGAGTTGTTAAGAAACAGTATGTGGGAATGTTTGTTTGGTTATTTGTACATACACACTTATTAGAGCGAGTCTCCCTTCATCTAGAGAATAAAGCTGCTATGGAAAAGACTGTGAAAACTGGTGAAAGATTGAACTATTTCCCTATCCATTTTATGACAATATGCACAATAGCCTGTAGGTTGACCTGAAAATGTGACTCTCCCACAGATTTTGCAACTCTTTTTAAAGCCCCTGCTGAGCAAGGGGCAGCACACTCTCACTGGACAGCAAGAACATGCTGCGCCTCCTCAGACTGCCAAAGTGTGGGCTCTTTGAGTTCCCTCTCCAGGACAACAATAAGATGCAATACTTCTGCCACCACAGTTTCTTGCATGTTCGGAAATTTAATTTTCTCTAAGACCTTAGCCTTGCTGTTAAAATTGGCTGAATTTGAGCATCTGGTTGAGAAACTAAAAGGAGGCACTAACATCAGGGCAGAGAGAAAAAAAGGCAATTCAGTCCTATGAGGAAAGCATAAATAAGAGAGCAAAGATGTCTCTTTTCTATCTTCAGGCTGCTGGCAGGCAGAGTGTCTTTCTTCTAGGAGAGGCTGGGGCCACCACGATCCCTATTCCCATCACCTTTGGAGAAACTGGTTGCCCCTCTCTGGTGTCCTTTACCACTACTTTATACCTAATAAAGACAAAGGAAAGTTACCGTGTTTCCCTGAATTTCGGCAACATGATGATAAATCTCCTGGGAGATTTATCCACCCTCCCTGAAGGCAGCTATCTCAGTCTCAGCTGGGCTCCTCTTATTGTTGGTGGAAATCACAAATAGATACTGCCTGAAGGGCTGTTGACTTGTTCATGATAGGACGAGGTGGAACTGCCTTTTGACAGTATCTATTTATCTCTATTAATAACAAAGAGAGCGAAGAGAGGCTGGTTCAGATTTAGTCATCCAGCTGTTGAATGCCTTCGTTAGGGCAGATGAATTCCACCTTTAAGGTTGTTTCAAATTATGTTATAAGCATATGTGGTAGATACTTAACATACCAGGTAACTATAGTTGCACATGGGCCAGTGTTAAAATCTCTCTTTGTTTGCCAAGGCTGCAGGGAAAGTTTTGCATCAAACAGTGTGGGATAATGACACCTGATGCTCAGTGTGCAGTTTGTAGCATATGTCCTCCATCTGATAGGGGTAGAAAGATTCTCTCTTTGA